CGCCGCAAAGTCTTGGCTGGCATTGTAATGACCGAAGATATGAATTTCAATGAAGCCAAAGTGCGTTCAGTCTTACAAATTTTCGTTTATAATTTCAAAGTAATTTTACGAATTTCCAATTGGCAGGTAATTTCCGTGTCCACTGGCACCAAATGCGTGAGCGGCGAACACATGAGTGTCACTGGCGCTGTGCTCAACGATTCACATGCTGAGATCGTCTCTCGGCGTTGTCTAATGAAATATTTATATGCTCAATTGGATCTACAATGCAGTCAGGGTATGTTGAAGCGATAATTTAATTTTTGTCCAACTGAATACTTACTTGCCTAGTAGATGACGAGGAGTATTTTACTCAGACATATGTATACCTTTTAATAGAAACAACAATTTTATTATTTAATTTTAAAGCTTTTAATTTTTATGTACTTATGTATATAAACTTTGCCGCCACTATTTCGTACACCAAATCCCTTCTTAGAGTCTCTACTGAAATCGTTAATACATATGTGTACATACATCCGCACATGTGCACGCAAGTGCGTATGCAAATTGTATGTATGTACATATATGTATGTATATAAAAAAAAAAAATATACACTTATATTATTGTAAGTTTTATTTTTTGATAAAGTAGTAGTGTAGTTTTATTTTGGTTAGTTTGTACAGCGCACATTGCATAACTTTGCAGTTTTGTTTGAATGCGGTTTGTGCTATAGCTGCGAAATTCTACAAATGTGCCAGGCTTTGCGCGAAAAGTTGCGAAAAGAGTAAAAAAAGAAAAGAAAAAAGCGCATAAGGAACACAGGGTAGAAATTCGTTTCAAGTAGCTTTCACATAAAAAAAAAATGTACATCTTTCTTTGCGAAAACTGAATTTTTTCAAAAAAAAAACTTATGTTGGCATGGATGCGCTACTAGCAAGTTTTGTAATGTATATACATATGTACTTACATATATCTGGCATTCGCTATACATAATGCAACATTTTACTGCCTTTATTTTTGCCTTACTTTAACATATTTGAGTACTCGTATTTGTACATTTTTTAAAATTTCCACAATGCATGCAAAACTCGCTACCAGACACTTTTTTTTGGTTTGTTTTCTTTCATATGTAATGGATTTTTTTTTTAATTGCATGGTGCTGCATATTTTATTTAGCATAGAATTTAAGAAGGAAAACATTTATGATAACGCGGTACCAATAGAAAAATTAAGATAAAAAATACTTCCCATACCGGGAATCGAACCCGGGCCTTCTGGGTGAAAGCCAGATATCCTAGCCACTAGACCATATGGGACACTAACAATATATACGCGCTAGCGGCTCACAACGTCGCGATATTGTCTACTCATAAACATTTACACATGCAAACATATGTACTACATATTAGATCTATTCTTATTGCTTTCCATTTGCATTTATATGATTCACTCAATATATATAGTTTTGAATCATAAGTTGTTCAGTGATTAGCTAAAAATAGGTGCTGTTTGCGCTATAAATTGTTCACCGAGCCACGCAATATAATGCGTGTTTTTTCTTCTTCTGCCTTTTTTAACGCGTCAACGTACTTTTGAAAACGATTCATTCAACTCACTTCTGTTGCTTATATGCATTTTATCATAAAATGTTAAATTCCAATATCAGCTATTTTACTTAATCAAAAGCAAAAATACCTCTCACCTTCAACCTCAGGCAGAACCATAAATATGTGTTTGAAGTAAGCGATAGAAATTGCTGTCGTATTCATATGTTTACATTTGGAAGTATATAGCTCGAGCTGGACTACACATATCCCAAAAAAGTCGACAAATTTTTGAAAATTAAATACTCTTTTATGCACTACAATCTTTAGAACATTTCCATCTGGTCCACCCTTTGTCCCACAGCAGCAATATTTTCAGCCGAGCGCCCTGCACGAAAACGAATCCAATTTCTTCGAATTCCTGCACCAACGGCTGATTGTTGCCTCAGATGGCCGGTTAAGTTGACAGAAAAAATAACGCAATGCGCATATCGTTATTACGCATTGTACAAAGTTTGACAATATGTCGAAGAAAAAAAATTGCTTTCAAAGATATGCATCTCCTTTGAATCATCCTATAAAAAAAAAATTAAGCACCCCCAATTTATTTTTATTTAGAATACATATTTACTTAGTATCATTCAACTCTGAGGAGAACAGTTTACTCGAATGAATGGAGGACATGCCTCTTGCCGTAAAGAACAACATTCACTAAAGGAGAAGTGTTCGAGCAAAGGAGAAGTGAGGATTTGTATCAGAAGTAGGGACGGTCTTGTCGAGAACGAATTATAATGAATAAAAAAGCTGAAATTGTTAACTTTTCGCTTTAGTCGCGTATTTGTATTTTTTTTTTTCCTTTTGAAATTTTAAATTTAACTAGTTGAGCGCGCATTTCCCTTATGGGTTACTTCTTTAGCTTCGCTTTTGAATAGCTAAAAAAATACTAGTTTTCGAATTTGCAGGATAGTTTCCATAAATTTTTTTTTTAATGATGTGAATTAGCAAATTCAAAACTTTATCAAGCAGTTATTTTTAACTATCAAGGCTTGTCTATTATTTTACAAAAATAACGATTTTAAGATTTGTATGCATAAATCTCGATGCCTGGAGTTCAGGGTTACAAAATCTCATTTTTGCCACAACAGCGATTTAGGCGGTTTTGCAAAAACATCGACGATGTGTATGTACATATAAACATATCGCTAGCTTGGAGTGAAAAATTGATAATTGCAGTTTTTTTTCAAATTTTTGAGGAGAGAAAAAACCTTTCGAACGGATTTTCTTTAAAAAAAAATTTGCATATACCAACATTGATGAAAAGATTGCGTATCACTGCATAGAAATGGTTAGCATAAAACAGTTATTGCTTCTCGATTCAAAATGTATTTTTTTTTTTAAAGTGGGCATAGCAAATTTTAACTCTAAGCTGGCGGTATGTCCATATGTATAATTGTAAAAATTATTTGTTCCTAAATACCCATATGGAACGGAGCTGATACCTTTGAAAATTATTGCTATTTTTATACATATGTAAAGGTCGTGTGGGTTAATTTCAGTTACTTTCACGGGTTAATGTCACTGCGTGTAACCGTTTTACTTAAAATTAATCATAAATCTGAAATATTACTCACATGCCAAACTTTCAAATCACTTAAAACCCAAATTATAAAATATAAACATTTTTTTAATCTATTTTTTATTTATTAACAAATTTTTAAGCTCTTCTAACTTTTTTTCCAAATAGCAAGCATAGAAAAGCGGCCGGTAGCGTAAAAAATTATTACTTTTATTTTTAGCTTTTTTTACTCTTCTAGATGCCTAGTTTGCATTTGAAAAAAAAAATAAAAAATTAAAATCGGTTACATTTTCACATATATTAACACTATTATTTTTAAT